TGTGAAACTTTAAACGGAGGAAGTTTGAGAATTATTTTTGTTCAAATTTCTTTTATCTTTCCTTGCATGAAAATAGAACAAGCTTCTTGCTCTGTCACTTTCCACTCCTTACCCATTATTTTTAGTAACCTTGTCAGTGTCAGATGCTGATCGAATGCCTTGGGACTACTGCCGCATAATTTGTGAACAGGTTGGGTGTATAAGTTGGTGAATAAGTCGGAGTAGAGCAAAGAACAAGGGCCAGAGCAGAGAAGAGTGATTCTATTGGCTCTGTGGAGTAAACTGACCTTTAAGTAATCAGGCAAACAAACCAAGTCACTGCAGTGGAGCCCGACACTGTGAGACACTCAATGAACTACTACTGACAAACTGAGTTTCCTCACATCCTCGTCGGTAACAATGCTTTGCCTCGGTTTTTCTACCAAAAAAAAACAAACAAACCCAACAGAAACCCACTTGGCTCTGATCAAAGGAATAGCATGGGAAATGTAGTTCTCACACAGTGCTATGATGATAGTCTCTTTTCAGAGGGGTTTTGAGAGTACATTCCCACAGCCTGGATTTGACTTTCATCTCTGGAGATGTAAAAAAGGAGGGTTTGCCACTCAGTAAAAACAACAGCTGCCGCTTAAAACAATAGCCCCGGCATCAAACAAAAATGGGAACAGGGAGAGAGTGAGGAGAGCGGGTGAGTGTTAGGAAGACACTCAAAAAAAAAAAACCTCCCTGCCTAGAGATGAAAACTCAGATTGTTCAAAAGTCCAGCGCCTCCGGCATCTTTCATGTTCTGGTTTCTTTTACTGTTTTTTTTTCACTGTACCATTCAACCTGTCTTTGTTCCTCATTATCAGTTCAGAGAACATGCCACCTGGTTTAATAGGCAGAAATCTGGTTAGCAAAACATCTGCAGACAATTTGGTTGGAATATATTGCACCTCCTGTTCACCTGGTAAGTCTCTTTGCCCAGTCTCTTTGACATTCAGACCAAGCAAGGCAGACACCTATGCTAAAAGTCTTCAGGGTATATCCTGTCTGACACCAGTTCTGACGACCGATCACCCCTTTTTTACACTCCTAAGCTAGACCCCCTGCCAGCTACAAGCCCTGTTTAAACTGGGTGGAGAGCAGCCAAGGTTCAGCCAAAACAAGTGGGAGGTGTGTGTGTATGTGTGTGAAAGAGAGGATTTACCAGGAGGAGGGACGTCTGTCAGGTGAACTGGAGAGGGAGCGCCTCCGGCAGTGCGACGAGAAGCTGCGAGAGTCAGAATGAGAACAAGAACGAGAGCGGGACCTGCTGCTAGTCCAGCAGAAAGGCCTGCTGGGCGAGAGGAGGAGTGAGGAAGGTGGGGACACGGAGCCTCGTGAAGGGGAGCAGCTGGATGGTGGAGAACAGGAGGGAGAGCAGGGGGGGCAGTCAAAGAGTAGGTCCAGAGGGGTGCCCTCCCAAGGACAGAAGAAGCAACTCTCACGGCCCTCGCCCAGCTCCAGCTCACCATGGAGTGGCAGGAACCCTGGATGCAGATAGCTGGAGCCAGGCGGCCTCTGGGAGTAGTAGTCATTCTCTACCTCCTCAAGGGACTGAGGGGCTGCAGCTTTGTTTGGTTTTCTTCCTGGTTCTCTCTCCTGACCACCCTGGCTATAGAGGGCTTGTAAGGGGTGGCCAAAGTGCTTATTGAGCTCTGCTCTGATCTCCTGGTCGCAGAGGAGCTTCCAGCTGGTGGAATAATAATGCTGTTGGTTCCTGTCAGTAGTGACATCTTGTGAGGGGATCTGGGTGGTTTGTGTAAGGTTTTGCTTCGCTAACCCCTGGACCCGGACAGCGTCTCCATCCACAGAGGCAAAGTCCTGCTGTTTAGCCAAAGGACCAGATGAAGCTGATGATGGAGAGCACAAAGATGAAGATGATGAGGAGGATGGTGGCATGGCTGAGTCCATACATCCGACATGCCTGTCCTCCACTGTGCCTGCAACAGGTATGGGCACAGCAGTGGCACCTGGGGTGATCATAATTTCTGATGCTGTAGTCACAGTAACAGTGGCTGTGCTGCCGTCCTTCTTAGCGCTAGCTGATGCCTGGCAATAGTCATGGTCACTGTAGCCACGGCACGCAGCCCGCTTATTGTTGCTAGTGCTGCGATGCTCCTCAAGGCCGCCCCCCACAGTGTGTTGGGTGGCAGAGTAAGGGAGGGCAGTGGACGCTTTGCTCAGCTGGGCATAAAGCTCAGTCTGTTCAGGACCCTTTCTGGTGGGGACACCGCCTAAGGCACCTGGGGCCAGGGCCAGAGTGCCGTGGCCCAACTCGCTCAGCCTGGCTCTTTTGCATGCCAAAGCCAAGGAGGAACATGAAGATAACTTGGTTTTGAGCGATGCTTTGAAAGGATTCTCTTGACTGGCTTTGTGTGGGGGCGTGGTAGGTGGTGTCAGACCTGCAGAGGAAAGAAGAGACAGAGGTTGGTGAAGAGGTTGGAGGCAATAAAATGAAAATAGTCATAATGCAAATTACCCCAAATATCCCCTTCTCCCTGCTCTCCTCACTCATCTATAACCTCCCAGGTCAGGTTCTGGACAGTGGACACAGATACATGTCTGATTAAAATATTCACTTTCGCTTGGCCTAATCCTGATCTCTGTTTTATTGAAATCTTGACAGATTAATGCAGCGCCTGGTGAAAGCTAATATTGTGGTGCTGTAATATGGATGACTTCCATTGTCTTTCCCCTCTGACCTTGGAAAGATCCCTTTTCATGAGAGAAAAGACCTTGCAGAGGACAAACGTAATGCATCTGATGAAGAAAAAAAAGCAGATGTATCACATCTCTGTCCACCTCACACAAAGTGTCTACACTGAAGAGCGGCCAATTCATCTGAATAAAGACCTTTTTCATCGGTCTGAAAGAACAATCCATAGCATGTGCTTTTGTTTGTCATGCTATGTCATGGAAGCACAGGAAGTACTGGCAGAAGGGTTGTCAGTCCCCTCTGATGTCACGTCCCTACTGCTTGCAAACCCCCACCCCCACCTCCTACAGATTTACAGTCAGACAGATGGCACTTATATGGGAAGTCCTGAGATGAGCCCTCTTTATAGCATTGTTAATGCACTGGCACAAACAGTCGCCACTCTCATTCTCTCATTCTCTCTCCTTTAATCCCCGTATTCCCCCATCTTCTCTCTTCCTGTCTGTCATCTTCCCTGGATCAATCTCTTTTTCTCCCTTTCCATCTCTCAGCACCCTTTCCTGTTTCTATCTTGAGCAAAACAAATGTGCCCACACACATACACATGCACTCCTCACTAAGAGTCTCTCAGTGGAGTCAAACTCAGGCACTTTGAAACACCTACGCTCTCCCCTCTTCTTTGCCTTTCTTATAATGCACATCACTCTTCCCCTGCTGGTGAATTGTACCAAATGACAGCTATTAGTATTAAATCCAGAGTATGCACCAGGAATACAGCTCTGCAAAGAGAGTGCAGGAGTCTGATACATAAATATGCAAGTTTCTAAAACCACTCACTGTTTGGAATGCCTGATCCAACAGCTTATCATCCTACTTATTATCTGGATGTGCCTGTAAGTAGGACTGCAAGCCCACACTCCCTTCTCCCCCCCTTTACTCCACTCTTTCTCTTCCTTCTCTCAATGCTGATATAGACATATACATGCATTATGCCAATGAAATGAGCTATGAAAAGGAGAAGACAGAGAGGAATAGGGGGTGCTACACAATGCCTGAGGAACTTCTGTTTCGCCAATGAAGCGCCATCTGTCCAAAACAATGTGTGCATGGGGTCATAAACTAGGAGCCATTAGCAATGGGTTGAAATAAATCAGAATTAGATAAATATGTGCCTCTCAGTCAAACTTGCTAGTGATGGATGATCCACAGACATAAACACCAATCACAAAGCCACTGGAGAGAAAACGATGAAGCAAGTGAGCATGACAGAAAGAAAAAGAAAGGTTTTATTTTTTTTTTCTCATCTGGCTATAAATTGCAAGGAGATCCCAGAGCAAATAACAACTTCAGGCTTAAACAGTTGATCCCCCAGTAAGTCAGGCAAATAGCAACACACAGACCAAGTCGGTGTCATGAGATACAGTAATTAAAGGCAACACGGCAGCACATGCTAAATCTATTAGCTTGACAGGCACTAGGCCTGAACAGTCAGATCCCAGGACATCTCACTGCCTGCTGTAGGCTCACTATACCTCTCTGAGAAATGTCAAGGAAACATGCAGCCAACAGTCCAAGTTGCTATTATTTCACATAATCTGGCTTGGCCCAAGATGTACAGATCTATTAATCAATCTATAATTCAATTTATCTTTCTATGAAACTGTTATTACTACAACTAGAATTCACCATAAAGGCATAAAATAATATATTATTGGCAACAGTTCATGGCTAATTCCATTACTGTGCTGTCTCCCTGCAGGTGGAGCATTGAACTGCCCTCCTGGGGAACTTCCATCTGTTACTGATAACACCAGCATAATCTCTATTGTAGTGTAATGTTACTCTAAATCTGCAAAGGACATGTAACACCGGAGCTAAAAGCTTTCACCTTCACTCACTGGGATCTATATCCATCTGTGTCATACAGCACTCACACAGACTCGAAGGCTAATCCCCAAGTAGGAAAAGGGCTCAGTATCCTGGAGCTTTCTGGACTCATGACTTTCCTGCTAATATTCAATCCTAAATTTACACAGGATTGTGGAGTCAGGTGACGGCCTTAATTTGAAAGTTGTTGTAAAAATGGATGCAGTGGGATAGAACGGGCGCCCAGATTTGGCCACAGGTCAGACTCAGCCACGTGCAGTAAAACAGAAAGAAATATTAACTGTGCTTGATGGCCCAGATCCGGAAAGCTTACAACCCAAAAGCATTAAATAACACTTTGAACAAAGTCAAAAGGACAAGGGGGTGACCTCTTCAGGTTTGAGGTGTCACATATTTCCACCCCCCAACAAGAGCTCAGTAGAAGGCGGAGGGGGCAGGCATGAGGTACGTATGAGGAGAGTTTCCTCTGCTGGTAAATGAATACTTGAGGAGGCTAAAGGGCAGTGATTTTGTTTTTACTGACCTTAAATGATTAATTTTGGGGTGGGGGTTACTGACTTAATTTTGCACAAAGAGAAAAAGAGATTTGACCCCCATTAATGCAGCTTTTGCAGTGTTTTTTTTTTCTTGTAGTTGCTTTTGCCCTATAACTTTCTTTTCATGCAGTTAATTATAACTCAGATAATGTCAGTAATCATGCTGAAAAATTCTCAAACTGACTCCACCTAGAAAACAGTCTCCTTTGGATATTTGCTCTCAGATCAGCTGACCCGATCACCTGTATGTCGAGAGACTTAAGAAACCGAGGCACCGATCATACTGGCAAAAATGAATTACACAGCAACGCCAATTAAGACACTGACATTTAATTTTCCGTTTGATGTGTAGACTAAGCAAGCTGTCAGTCAGAAAGCATTAGGATTTGATATAAGAAGAGAAAAAGCATAATAACTCCGTAGCAGGAGAAGGGAGGTGGGGGACAATGGAAGGGGTGGACTAATAAACCCTGAAGAGCTTGGAAAACCTAATCAATACTTGGGTACATCAAAATGTCCTAGTATGCTTCCACCTTGAACTTTGAACTGTGATGGAGCTATCAAGATGCTAACCCATTGCTAGCTACAAGAGGGAGGTAGAATAGTCTGTTTTAAAGAAGTGTGCTCACCTGGGGTTCCAGTAATCTCCACACTTAATGTGCGTTCAGTGGTTTTGTTCTCAAACGGTGATCCCTTGTGGTCACTGAAAGACAAAAACAAGTGCTACATGTTACTTATCAGGTGAAAGCAAGAGTCTAAAAGCTTTTGTGATCTAAGAAATGGGAATGAGTCACAAAAATGCCTCAACTTGGATTCTAGTCGATATAGTTTTCTTTGACTTTGTCTTTTGTCTGTGGTTTGTTGTTGCTTTTTTGCCTAGAATAAGGTGGAAAAACTTCTCACACTTACTTTGGAGACTCTGGGGTCAAAGGAAGTGGCAAGGTGGTTGGTTTGGCTGCAGAACACAAAGGAGCATGGGTAATTATTGATCTAGATATAACACTCATGGCAGAAGAGAACAGGTCCACATTCTGCAACAATTAACCTCAAATTGGCTCATTAAATGCAAGTATTACTACAGAAACACCCATCCCTGGTTAGAAAGCATCTTTATGGTTACTACTGTACAAAGCATGTGCTTTTTAGATTGACCCCATTTTAACAATTTATCCTCTTTAGACTGTTTACTCTGTGAGGCAGGATGAAGTGATGGTGTTTCACAGGTGTCTGGACAAAGATGTACCCCGCTCAAGACAACAAACAGATTGAAATGGGAAAAAAAAAGACAGAGAGACGAGGTCAGAAACAAAACACAAGAGTGGGTGAGCTCCTCCCTGGACAACAATCATAACTGCATGCACCAACAGCAGAGAAGGGGAAAAAAGAAGAAAGAAAGGAGAGTCAAGGAAGCTTGTGCAGTTGCCCGAGGCTCTGGCCGACTTGTGCTCCAGCTAAGGGAACGTGGCTTTAGTAGCATGACGTTAAAGAGCAGCACCTGGGCTCTGGGTCTAAATGCACATTCAGCACACTCAACTCAATCAGCCAAAGACTGGGGTCGACAGGAGTCGACTTTATGACTACAAAATGTACAGTAGCAAGACCAGCTCACCCCTTTTCCCACCCCCTCTTTTTTTTTTAATGTCTCTATTTTTAAATTTATAAGAATGCCTCTGAGACTAGTGAAAAGCATCGGCCAGCAGGCTGTTTTTTGTCATTGTTGTTTATGCCCTCAGATCGACTGTTACATTCAAATTAGAATTGGAGTTAGTTGTGAAGTCAAACTGGGAAGTGGTTAGAGCAGGAGAGGGAGAAGAGAGCAGAGATAAGGCCAGTTGGGGGGGAGGGTGCAGTCATGATTACCTAACAGTGGATGGCCCTGGTCGTCGGGGTGCTCGCTGAGTGCCTGCCTGTGCTGGTGGCCCAGCCCTTGTATGATGCAGGGAGGGGTGGGCTCTGCAATTCTAGTATTTGGGAAGAGTGGGTTTTGTGGGCCCTGTGAGAGCACCGCTGCGGGGCTGCCCATGACATGGTCATCATCATCGTCATCATCATGGTTAGCATCCTCCCCATAGTGCCATGGGCTTAACCGCCCCAGCTCTAGTCCAAAGCCCATGTCTAGCCCTGGATCCAGCTGGCTAGCCCACCTTTCTAGGTCTAAGGTGTGAAGTGCCAACAGGGGCCCTGAGTCAGGGTCTTCAGCCTGACTTACACCCTGGTTTCTAAGTTCAGTCGTTCCTCTGAACTCTTCCTCCTCCACCTCTGAAACAGCCAGGACTGGGCTCTTAGACCTCCTACTTGCTAATTTGCTCTTAGTACTGTGAAAAGGGGTGACCATAGGTGGGAGTAGGTGAGGCTGATATTGAGCAGGCCTCCGTTTGGAGGTGAGCATCTGGCTAAGTAAAGGGTGACCAGGCTTCTCCTCTCTTTTTGCAATAGTCACCCAGATATGCCTATGCGGTGCATGGCTGGCACCACTACTGTTACTACGGCCTTGCCTGCCAAAGCCCACACAAGCCTGAGTGGCGCCCGTAGCCTCTCGGCAATGCTCACAGCTGTGACTCACCTCTCGGGGAGGGAGGGAATAAGAATGCATATACCTAATGAACCTAGCAGCGGCCAGGCGGCCCACATCGCCTGGCGGCCTTCCTTCTTCACTGGACGGCACATGCTCCAGTTTGGGGCCGGCATGGCCACAGGTGGAGGTTCTGTGGCCAACAGGGACAGAAGCACCCTCGGACTCCTCAACCCTGTCATCGCACCTGGCTGGTGATGCTGCTGTGGCGGCGGCGGCTGCTGCTGCTGCTGCTGTTGAGATGGCACAGCCGACTTCTTCTTGGAGGTGGTGGAGGAAGAGGAGGAGGAGGTGGAGGAGAAGGAGGAGAATGAGGATGTGGAAGACGAGGATGGCGAAGAGGAGGAGGAAGAGGCGCCAAGACCCAGGCCACTTTTGTCCCTGCTATTGGCACCACCCCACGTGCTCTTGGCTTCACTGGCTTTGGTGTGGAGCAGGATGTCATCAGTGGCTGTCAGGTATTTCAGCAGCTCAGTGCAAGGCCGCCTCACTGGGCGGTTCTGTTGGCTAGAGCCCCCTTTTGTTTTGCCATTCCAGGGGCTCTCCGTCTGTCCAACACAAAGAAGGAGAGAGAGAAAATTATTTAGTTTGCTTAAATAAAAAGTTTTGCTCACTGCTAGCAGTACAGTGCAGTGGATCCAGTCGTGATAAATGTTAAGTGCTTTGTTTGGCACTAAAATAAAAGCGGATAGAGATGGTGCCAAGGAGCGACTCAAAGAGTGACTGAAATGGCCTGTGCACAGTGGTTGTCCAAATGTCTGGGAGGCGATGGTGGGAGCGCAGTCCACCCATCACCTTAATTGCACGGCCCTCTGAGCACCACCGGACCACTCTGTATGTGCACCATGGCCTCCGGACGTCCTCATTCGCTGTGCTCCAGAAATGGATGGCTCAAAGGTTCAGTATCAAAATAGACTCTGTGAGGAAGCTTGATGCACATGTGCCACGCAGTATGCCCCCCATACAAATGCTTTTAGGGAAAGCATAAAAAATAGGGATGTCAGACATTTTCCCAGACAAGAGCAAACGATAAATGTACTGCAAGCTTTATAATGACACTGATCGTATAGTAGGACAAATTCTGACATGAAATGGAAACAGATTACTGAAACTACACATTTATTCACACTTAGAAATGTATGATACTGACTGGATTTAAGCTTAATCAACCCTAACCCTTTAGAAAAAAAAAACTCTTTGAAGAGCTATCTAATGAGAACATCAAGTCTGATATTTTGATCTTGTCATCTCAAGGCATCAATCTCACTGCAAGAGTGCCTGTCATTTTTTCCCCCCCAAACAGGCGCCATACCAAGGCGGATAAGTGGTGGAGCTAATGAGACAACAGTGCCGATGCTGCGCCTGGAAAGCCCAACAGCAATCAGCCTGCTTTCATTATGAGATGGCCCCCTGGGGTAGCAGACTAGAGCAGTAGCCTAAAATCTTTTAAAGGCAGTCACCAAAATAAGAAAAGAGTGAGAGAGGGAGGGAGAACACGAAACGAGACGGTGCAAGAACAGAGTAAGAGAGAGAAACAAACACTAACAAAAATGTGTATACAGTAGTGCATGTATTCTCTGCGTGTCTTTGTGTGTCCCTACCTTGACGACAGCAGGTGGTGGTCTGATCCGGTGGTTGCTGCTGGCTGCATGGTTCTGTGCCTTGCCACCTGTGTATTGATTATAGCTGAGCTGGGAGTTTGCGGGTGCCAGAAGGAGCTTCTTCAGCTGCGAATGGACCCAAACAGAACAAGAGAAAAGTGGTGAAGGAGGGGGAGGGTTATGCATGGGTTATGCAAATTTTCTTTCAATTAGACAGCTTGTGCTTCGTAAATGCAGAACCAGAAGAGACTGATACTGCAGTTAGAAAAGATAAAATCACTTACAAGAGCTATTTAAACGATTACAGTTTATAGTATGTGACAGCAAAAGTCAGGTTCTCTTCTTCCTGTGCAGGTGTTTTTGTGTACACAAAGTCAGGCTTCTTTAATGTGACTGAAAAAACACACCCAGGCATGTGACTGAAGGTCATTCGGAAGTGACCGGCATGGAATTCAATGGACTACAACTGAACATTACATTTCAGGTCAAAGCTGCTATGCTAGAGAAATGCCCAGATGGTATAGCTAGGTGTAAAAAATAACACAAAGGTGAGCTGAATTCTTATTGAGAAGGCTGTCTTTTTGCCAGAATAGATGACTCGGGCATGGGGATTAGTTCAGACCCACTGAGACAAGGCAAGATGAGATGGGTTTCTTTTTTCTCCCACTTTCATTATGTGCTTGATCTCAGGGCCTGTGGCACTGTGTCAACCATAGTTGGCCCCAACACAGTGTTTGTATCATTGAATTGGCACCACAATAGAGCTGTTATGCAATTAGCACTGAGCAGCAAACACACTGATCCATTCCATTTACTGTATTTCCCATCTCCCTGCATCTGCATCTCTGCATGCTTTCACTAAATGTGGAGTACAGTCAACACACTGTGGGAAATATAGCCCAGTGTGGATTTAACAGACAAATGACCACTTTTGGTGCTCACACTTGTTAAAGAGTCTTATCTGGTGTCTGCCGTGAATCTGCACAAACAGTGTGTAGGGTTATAGATCATGCTTCAGGAACCATGGAGTGGTGTTGATGGTGGGAGTCATGAGAATTAGGAGCTGTTGGTCTCACCAGGGAGGGCTCCTCAGGCTCTGGGGTGCGTGGTGAGCCGTCTGGGGAGGAAGAACAGCTCCGGTCACTGGCATTGGTCACGTCCCCATCTGCCAGGGCCTCAAACGAAGGCAATCCGTCCTCATCCACGGGGATGCTGTCCAGGGTCTCCGTAAGCACTGCCAGCAAGTTGGCCTCATTTTCTTCATCTATCTTCTTAGAAGAGACAGAAAAAATAGGACATTTTAGACAGGGAAAGTTGCATCTCTTCATTTTCTTCCATGGAAGTAAAGGTGGTGGGTGGCTGCATGCAAGTTTTTACTGTTAAGACTTTTACACAGTTTTTTTTTTTCCACCAGAGTTGGCTCTATTTTGGCAGCCTTTTTAGAAACAAAATTCTCTCCATGTGCAACTGAGTCATGCCTGTCACTCATATTTTAAGCATGCAGCTTACTGGACCAAAATATCTCCCCCAAGAAACCCATTACCAGGACTGACAAGTAGCAAGTATCTAGGGAAGACAGGAATGGGTTGGGGTGGGTTGCAGTATACAGGGTATGTGGGGTAAAGGAATCTCTGACAGAAGTTAACTCTCCTCTCCCTTCTCCCAAAGAACTGAGCAATGATCAGTGAACAAGATGTTTGCAAGCAATTCCCAGATAAGGAGAAATACCACCTGCTAATGCTAAATAAATGTGGTATATTTATAATGCAGGCATGACAGCTGATGCTCACAATGGGTGGGAAGTTACCATCAACATTTCCTAAAAAAAAAAAAAAAAAAAAAAAAGCTTGTTCTTGCCACTCAGCTCCTCTTTGATGTGCCACAGGAACCATGTGTTTTCTGTAGCTCACTATTTAATAGTTTAGATTATGACTGCATGTGAGAAATAAAGAGACAGATGAGTATGTAGACATGAATAGTGAGGAGGGAGTGAAAGAGAGAGGTGTGAGCTGCCAACTACCTACATGGGAGGTTTATTGAGGATAATAACTATGCATGCATATAAAGGAAAAAACAGCAACAGAGAGAATGTACATAGAAATTAAGAGTGTGAGGGATGCAGCTTGCTTGACAAAGGTGTGTGTGTTTGCGTGTATGCATGGCTGTGCCTTTGCGCAATGACAAGTGACAACAGGAACTCTAAGTTCCAGGCCCATAAAAGCCCAGGGGACTTTAAGACAGCGGAAAGATAAACAGCGTCATCACCCTGGGACATTCTGTGGCCAGCCCAACAAGAACAAATCCCTTTATGCACATGGCAGGATTATCATCTCTCAGCAACGGTGTGTGGCCATCATTATGCCGACGGGGCCGCCAACCTTTCAGATACCAGCAGTATTCCTCTAAGACTCAAAATCCCCATTTGCAGCTTGTTTCTGTACACCCCAATGATTTTACACAATTACACCCACTATGAACTGCACTTCTGGAGCAGCTCTGAATCCACCAATGAGTGTGTGGCCATTTCAATGCACCCCCCTCCACTTTTCATTTACAGATGACACAGATATCTTGGATGTTCAGTTAGCCAGCTAACAGTGAGGAAAAAATGTTAATCTGATGCTCATTGACTAGATTTTCTCCTAACAACATGAGCACTCAGTCATTATTAAAAAATGATAAAGGGACATATTTCACAGAGATAACACGACGTGAACTGGGGCCATGCCACATTGGCAAGCAAATGCCTTGCAGGAAATTGCTGTGTATGAGGTGGCATGCTGTTTAATTACTTACAAGGAGCTTCAAATCCACTGTGCTGGAACCTTGTGCTACTGAAATGTTCACCATTTTTCAGCATTTCAAGTTATTACCTGAGCACTAAGCGGGCAGGTATTAACCTCTGATAAAGCTGGAGCCTTTTCTTAGCACCAACATGCATCCTTGCACAAGAAACTGGAAGTAGGATCATTTTAGATAATCACAAATGAGTATTTAATGAGCCAGCCATCTGTTTAGGTCCAACCTCACCCACTCTTCATGCAGTGCTGTATTTTAGCGTGACTCTGTTCACCCCTCAGACCTATACATTCTGTAGAAACTGCAGTCTGTGCTGCTGTGCCACATTAGGTTCATTAAAAGTTGACAGCAGTGTACAAGTTTCATTATGTCATGTTTTGGGAAGGCTTGGGGAATTTCTGAGACTGTAGAAGGCACCGTTTCAAAAACCTCCACCGTTGGAAAGCTCCCACAGGTGCACTGTATTCTTGAAGACAACCCAGAAGGGAGCCTTATATTCTGAAAGAGACACTTGTAAAACCCCGAGTCGTGACGATCAGCCGCTGCTCTGGCTCTAGCGCACACAGCCCAAGTGCTGATCTGGGGGTAAACAGCAAATCTCAGTGACAGTTTCTGCCCTGCGGAGAGCCTGACCTAGTACCCCTGTCCAGGAGGGTGAGCATTTCCATGCCAGCTTAAGGACCACACCTTGCAGACCTTTGCATCAATGACTCACTTGTCCCTTGTATATTTATAAACACAATCTCTGTGTGGGTGGACTTCAGGAACTATGGGACCCAAAGGGGTGACACCAGGAAAACCTGGCAACCTGCTGATGGCCGTGTCCAAGTATATTGATTACTACAGCAGCTACTGACAGGAAAAGAGGGCAGGAAGAACAAAGAGAGGAGAAAAAATATCTCAGCAGGAGCACTTTCTCACCCATCCCGCTTAATGGACCTCACAGAATTAAAGAGATCTTAACAGTCCTGGGCTAATTGTGGGATCACAATATATTAACCCCGCTCCAAATCTAAAGAGTGCCATTTTGTGGCTGTTTTATTCCAAATGCTTCAATTAGCCATAAAACATGCTGGCAAGTGCTGGCAGGGCTCCCCCTCCCCTCCTTCACTCCACCCTCCCCACGCTGGAGAAAAGAAAGCCAACTCCAGTTGTTCATTATTAGGTGAGGCCCTTTTGTTATCACGCAGGCTGTCTTTGAGATTGTCCTTGCCTTTAACTGTTTTATTGAGTTCCACAGTGCAGCATTGTGTTCCAGGAGATACCATTCATCAGCTGATAACATAAGGTGAAGGTGCTGTTTTAAACAAACACTCGCTTCCCAACATTAGGGCAAATAGCCAAATTAAATCTGCTAATTGCTTCTTGAAGATTCCAAACTCCTGAGCAAATTTGCCAGGGATCAAATTTTAACAAGCTTTTTGGGGCAATGCATCATTTATATGCTAAAAGGAACCAAATGTGTTGTGCAAGTGCCAGGACGATAAACCTGATCACTGAATAACAGCAAAATCAAATTTCAACAGACTAAGCAGCTCCATTGTTTTCTACAAATGAGATGAAGAACATGTGACAGACGCTCTGGATGTGGGAAGATAAAATATCACCTATTAAATGGGTCATCGAGTATTTAAAGTACTGTTTATTTTCAGTCTCT